ATTTCAATGTTCTAGCGGAATATTCATTCGATTTTTGTCATCCTATAGTTGGCCAGTGTGTTGCTCATCCTATCGATGGAAAACTTTCTCTCTCTCTCTCTCTCTCTCTCTCTCTCTCTCTCTCTCTCTCTCTCTCTCTCTCTCTCTCTCTCTCTCTCCGCGCACAAAAGGACGTCGTTCCACCTCCGCCCATTCTAGTCATTTTGTCGCCTTGACGATTCTTGTTGTCAGCCTGCCGCAATTGCCCGACATCCTGGATTCTTATGTTTTCCCACGGACCCTGCGTACCTTGCTCCCCTTGAGCCCATCCCAACGTGACCTTGCTCTCTCTGCGGCCGGCGAGAATCGATGCGCGGATTCTCGTAGCGACGCCATGATCATGCCTTTTTTCCCACCGGACCTACGACGTTTCGCCTCTCCGCACGTAACGTCCCTCTCTGATTCCGCCCGTCCTGCGATTTTCCGTGGGCTCGCGACTTCGTGTGACGGCGGGACCGTTGTAACTTTAAAGGGCATAGAGATTAAAAAAAAAATATATAAGAAATGAAGGGTAGAGCCCTCGAGTCTGTAGCTCCGCTGGTGGTGGCCACCTCATCGGGTGCTACATAAGAATAAACGTCACTAATACCTTTCCCAAGTGTTCGTTCCTTCGAAAGCAGCTACAGCCTCATCGACTGTTATATAGGAACAGACGTCACAATTTTAGGTCCCACCCTCTCCCTCTCCCCTCCTCTCTATTCCGCCCTTGGGCCCATCAGGACAATCACGTTAGACAAAGGAGAATAAACGGCAAAAAAAGGAACTATCATGGGTTCTACACGTACATGCAACGTCATTTTCAAGTGCAACTCAAGTATACCCAAAAAGGTGACTTGAAAAATGGGTAGGATTGCCTGGGCCGCACTTGAGCCGCCCTTTGCTAAATCCGAAAGAAGTGGTTAATGGAATCGAAACTGGCATATTTGCCTGAATTTTTATGTTTTTATTGGTTTTTCTTTTTGCCTCACAGGTATGTGCTTTAGGGTATATCTGTATTCAGTTTCGTCGCATTTGTATTATGACCCTGCATAGTTTGTTTGCAAAATTTTCAACAACATTGCTTGTAGCGATGCGGAGAAAAACACCGAATTTTTTGTCTCTCATTAACTGCTAGTACTTTCTTTGGGACGTGAATGGGACCCTCGAACGAAGAGTCAAACAACTGTGTTTTTTTTGTTTTTTTTCCTTAACTAAGGGTCTCGTTAGACGCTCCTAATGAAATCCTAAAAGAGTTTTAGGAATCTGTGTCATTCCTAAAACAATAACCCTTAGGAGCGGTCCTAAAGGATTCCCCGAGTCCACCTCAGGACACGAAGTGGGCGAAGCCGAAGGCCTGACTTTAGTGAGTCCACGCAAGAAGAGACATTGGATCTCGTACTCGACTAATTATGTACTAGAAAAAAAAGTTTCTGTTTTTCGTCTTGGGACATGGGAGCCTGTATTCTAACAAGTTTGACCAACACTTTTTCATGACCCGGGGACCAATTCCTCGAGTAAGTGCTTCGAATTCTTCTAGGCAAGTCTTTGTACGTATGTGGAGCCGTGCCCCGGACCCCATCCATTGTCCATGATACAGGCAGGTAGAGGACCCCGCGCTCTTCATTTTTGAAGGCAAAAAACGACATGGAGGCAAGACTCTAGAATTTGAATTTGAATTTTCAAACGGGGGCGGGCGCCATCTTGTGCCCATGATACAGGCGGGTGGAGAACCTCGCCCTCTTTATTTTCGGAGGCAAAAAACCACGTGCAAGCAAGACTAAAAAAAAATTAATTTGAATATTCAGACGGTCGTTCGGGAGTTGGACGTGGAATAGACGTAACGGATGACGTCAAATAGAGGCCGCCACAAGGTGCCTTCGTCATCTTTCAGTTGGTGAATTGAAGTTCGGGTACTGGTGTGTTACGTCTTCATGGGCGGTGAACATAAGATGCTCATCGGAGACAGATGGTTATACAAGGATAGGTCACACCGCCGACGAGAAACCCCCCTGGGCGAGAGTGCCTTGTGGCGGCCTCTATTTGTCGTCATACCAATGTCCACCTTAGTCGCCTGCCTACGTTAAGCTGCTCATGTGGCGGAGGTGGCTATACAAGGACAGGTTATACCGCCGGCGAGAGACCCCACCGACCGAGAGTGCCTTGTGGCTGCCTCTATTTGTCGTCATACCAACGTCCGAGTCCACCTCCGTCGCCCGCATACTTTCGCCGCCGAGGAAGCCCTCCCCCGAAGAGGGGGGTCGGAAAGGAATGTGGTACCACGACTCGAGGAATGCGTCTGCAATTGCGCAAGTATATGACGCTCTTGCAGCGTGTGGTGGAGGCACCGGATTATGTGGCGACGTATGAAGCCATGTTGCAGATGTGCGCAACACTCTCCACCGATGCCATCCCCTGTCAAACACCACGGTGGTGGAACAAGCGTCGCTCACCCGATAACCGCGTGTAAGTGGAGATTTGTTAGTGTGCGCATTTGTAGAGCGATGAAGCTCGTTGGTCAATGCTTCGGGGTTCACGATGAAAGTGTGGGTGATGGGCGGCGTACTGCCTTATGACAAGCCGAACCTCAAGTCGACATCCCCATGACCGGCATCACCCAATCCGCTTTGGAGGTCAATCATCACTTGTCCAACACGACAATACTATGGCGTTTCCAGTTTGGAGGTGTCACTTGCAAGACGTGGATGTGAATGACGACAAAACACATGTTGACAACACACTCCTAAACGACAATGTGCTACCATGCGCACATGAGTCATTGACGAACGCCGGCAAAAGTACTTTGAATTCCGAGTCTGACCGTTTCTGCCTTTCCGCAGGTTTGGTGGGCTCCCTGCCGCCCTTCCGCAAGTTTGGCGGGCTCCCTGCCGCCCTTCTGCCTATACCTGTCCCCTCATGATGCCACTCTACTTGCCTACGTGGCGCGTACCTTACCTCGCGTGATCAGCCCCTCCCTTCTGGGGCCTTGAGATCCCACCTTATCGAGTACATGCAAGCAATGCTGCCATTGCTAGCATTTTCCCCCAAATAGAAGGCACGGTGATCATCCCTGGACTGAAACTTTCCCCGAATACGTTCATTAGTACTACCACGCGTTCTATGCGGGGGAAAACATTCCGCACGATGGATTGTTTGTGTGTTGTCTTCTACTTTCAGGTTTCTATATTTATTTTTTCCTGTTGTGGTTTGTCAACACGCAACGTGTGGGCGGGTCTCACATGACCACACGCGGTAAACTGGAAGGAGTCGCGGTGACAAACAACACATGGTAAATGAGTAGTAACTGGAAGAATCGTGGGCATAGGGAAGTTTGCTCGTGGCAGCCACAGTGTGTATGTCACTGTCAGCGTCCGTGGTATCCCATTGCAACGTCGGTGCTATGTCGGTATTTCGTTGGTGCTATAACGTTGTTATGTCAATGCTATGTCAACTTTTTTTGATGCTATGTCGGAGCTGTGCCGGCGCTATGTCAATGCTATGTAACCACGGATCAGGCTTGTCAATGCTATGACATTGTTATATCAGTGCTATGTCGCCGCTTCGTCGGTGCTATGTAACCACAAATCTAGCTTGTCGGTCCTATGATGTTGTTATGTCGGTACTTTGTCTATGCTATGAAAGTATTTTACCAATGTTATGATGATGTTATGCCGGTGTCATGTCGGTGCTTTGTCGGTGGTATGTTGGTGTTATGCCAGTGCTATGTCAGTGCTATGTAACGACGGATCTGGCTCGTCGGTGCTATAAGATTGTCATGTCGGTGCTATGACGTTGTTATGTCGATACTTTGTCAGTGCTATGACGATGTTATGTCGGTGCTATGTCGGTGCTATGTAAGCATAGACCTAGCGGTGATACCTT